GAGCCGTTTATTGGGAGAGTTTGGCCATACATTGGTTCGAATAGGCAAGCATCTTGGGGCCAACCACAGGCCTCGAAACAGCCCTCGAAACAGCCCCCTAGCGGTGGCCGTGAACTCTAGATTTGTGACACGATTAATTTAAGCCGTTTTAGCGTCGCTAGAGTGATAAGGCTTAACTCTCAATGACTGAAAACTTTGGGCATGTGAGGTTTTCGTCACGCCAATATTCAAGTGTAGAATAAACGAACGTGCGCTCCAAACCGGGGCCGACTTGCTAGAAACAGCGTCTCAGCTGAAACGGGGAAAGAAAGCACTGCCAAAGCCAGCGCACGAGCCGAGCGGCACTCCGCGTCTCAAGACGCTCGCGCGCCCCACCGTTTGCACAGTTTTTTTGTTTTTTTTAGCCAGTCTTTGAGACGCTGTTCCTGCAATTCGGCCCAGAGCAAACTATCACCGTTACTCCATTGCACAGACATCAGCGGTGCAGACAAAGCCATGGGCACGAGCGCGTGGCTTTCGAAAGTGCCTCGTATACACGAGTTCTCGCACAAACAAACGCATTTCGCTGAGCTAGGCTCACGCACCTGTGCCTTCCTCTTTACTGATTTAACTGTCGTTTGCAATATTGTGACGTTGCGGTCTGCTGATTGGTAGACGCTGTGTCGTACCTTTAGTTTACGCTCTAACCGCGGGGGAGTTTTCGGCACTGGCAGTGGCCTTTGCTCCGCCCATTGTCCAAACTCTCCTAATATACGGCTCTCCTCCCACACGCACACAGGTCCGGCAACGCCCGACGCGGAGGCCGGGCGCGCGCCACGCTCTTCCCTTTACCGGTGCCCAGGAGAGGGCTTCTCTGTGGGGTGGCGTTCCTTGGAACTAGAACGCGTCGCAGCCAACTGCTTTTTAGGTGCCGTTTCGCTCAGCAAATGAAAAAATGGGGAATTAAGGTGCCGCTTTTCGCGGATACAGACGCCACCGTCTTCGCTACATAGGACAGTTAAGGGTTTAGCATTAATAAACGCCGTGTGGTACATACACAATAGGGACGTTTTGCAGATCGTTACCGTGTTATGCGTACTGCACTGATGGAGCCTTTGAAGCATGCTTTTAAGCGCGCGTCTGAGTGATACCGTTACCCCAGGCGTTCCAAAATGCATGCTTCAAAGGCTCCGCTAGTGCAGTACGCGGAACACGACAACAGTTTGTGTAAAGTCCCTTTTTTTAGGGAGTTTTCGTATATGGTTTCCGCTGTCTCTTAAAGATTCCTGCTACCCGCTACGAGATCGGGGAATCTGCAGGCAAGGCTAGCGCCGCGCACGCGCAGTAGTGGCGTCTTCGTTCCGGAGAGCTTAGCGAAGCCAAGAAAACGGTCTACGAAAACTTTCTTATTTTCTCCGTATGCCTCTTCCACGCACTCGTGAAGGCGAGAGAAACGTCAACACGGGTCAAGCTATAGAGACGCCACTGTGGGCACTCCTGGACCACGCTAAAGACTCCAGCGCCCCGTTGTGCGACTTGCGAAACGAAGTACTTGCTCAATCCGTTAGCTAAGCTCAAACTTATACTGGACGGCACAATCACAGTGGTAACTACATTCCGTGGAGTGAAGAGGGCACCAGAAAAGGTCTACCAAAGTGTTTTTTTTTTTTCTGACCACCCATGAACGTTCGCAAAATAAAAAAAAAGCGATTAGTATTATAGTGCCTATGGCGACTACGGTGAATTAAGCGATCTGAATTCAGAAAACACTATTTATGAACCCCAAAATGTAAGCGCAATGACAGGTTAAATCTTCATATTAAAGCATGAAATGATTTGTAACGCTACCGCCAATCCCGAAATCTTGTCCGTCCGTCTGTCCGTCCGTCCACCTGTCAGTGCGTTTCGCGAGTAAAGTGGCCTCATGTGATGTCACTACACTTTGTGGAATATGACGGCACCTGACCAATACATCAACTCAGTTTCACCCCTAAATTTAGGGGAAAATGCATGTTTTGCGGTAATATTATCGATTCGGTTTCCCCGCAAAATTTAGTGGGAGGTTGTCGTCACGTGGCATTTACACCATCCCAGTTTCCCGCTACATTTACCGGGGGAAATCAGCGTCACTTGATCTGACATCAGGTGACCTATGCAACATTTAGTTGCCCGCTAAATTTAGCTGGAAGATATGCGTCACGTGACACACCAATAGGCGATTTGCAATTTTCCCAAGCGCCCCGGCTCGCGCGCGAAGAATCGTGGGAGAGACTGTCCCTGGCCTGGACGCTCTGCCTTGAGATCGCATTGCCTTGTCGCGTGCCTCCTGTTAATCGTCTCTTTTTCCAATTCATTACCCATTTTTATCTATTCCAGTTTTTTTTTTCTTCCTTCTAAGTGTTACTATTTTCTTCTGCGCGCGATATTTCTTGTATATATATAGTATTTGTGTTTTTATTTCGCCTTTTCCGACGGGAGTGCCGACGGACAATACGCCGCTTCGCGCGTCGTTCCCCGGCTGAGTACTACCGTTGCTACCGGTTCCTATCGTGCTGTTAGCTGTTCATTTTGGTTTATTTAACCCACGTGCAGTCCAAAGGAGCTGCTTATGAACACCCGCGCACATATCATAAGGGTAGGCAGAGCTCTGAATCAACAATCGCGATGCAAGAGCCGAGTGCGCTGTGATTTGGCCGCACGCGCTCGCTCCGTTGACTCGCACTGCAGCGTTTGCCTTCGTCTGCCGCTTAACGTGACCAAGGTATACAGCACGCCGCTTTGCCGTCGCGAATCCTTTGTCCGAATGCCTGCGAAACCGTAACACTGTTCGGCATATCCAACGCTGCGGCGTCTGACAACTGCACGCAGCGGCGCGAGCCCTTAGCAAGCGCCGGCGGTTCAATGTCGCGGCTTGTATGCGCCTTTGGCACGCATTCATGATCAGTCTCCTCGGTGGTTGTCAGTCGCTGACACCTTGACTCGAGCACCAGCTGACATCTTGACTCGAGAAATAAAATTACTGAAAGAACAACGAGTTTCAAGGTAACTGCCTGGGTGACGGGACATGCCTGCACTTGGAAAAGGGTGTTTGCAACTGACAACCGCTTAGCAGACAGATTAAGAAGGCATACCATAAACGCGTACAAGCCGCGACTTTGAGCCACCGGCGCTTGCGAAGGGTTCGTGCCGCTGCGCGCGGTTTGTCAGGCACCGCACGCTGGATATGACGAACGGTGTTACGGCTTCGCAGGCATTCGGACAAATGATTTGCGGCAACACATGTCTGCACTTGAAAAAGGGCGTTGGCAACTGACAACCGCTTAGCAGATAAATTACGAAGGCGCATTCAAGCCGTGACATTGAGCCGTCGGCATTTCCGAAGGGATCGCGCCGCAGCGCGCAGTTGTCAAGCACCGCAGCGTTGCATAGGCCTCAGCTTCACAAACATTCGGACAAATGGTTTGCGGTGACAAAGCGGCGTGCTGTATCTTGGTTAAGTAAGCGGCACTCGAAGGCACACGCTACAATGCGAGTCAACGGAGCGAGCGCGGGCGGCTAAATCACAGCGCACTCGGTTATCGTGTCGCGATTGTTGATTTAGAGCTCTGCCTACACTTATGACATGTGCGCAGGTATTCATAAACGGTTCCTTTCGACGGCACGCGGGTCAAATGAACCAAAACGAATAGCCAACAGTGCGATAGGAATCGGTAGCAACGATAGTACTCACCCGGGGAACGACGCGCGAAACGGCGTGTTGTCCGTCGGCACTCCCGTCGAAAAAGGCGAAATAAAGACACAAACACTCTAAGCCGCCTCGGTGGCCATGAGGCGAGAGCGTTGGCCTACGGATCCCGATGTGGAGGGTTCGAATCCCGGCTAAGGTGCCCGCAATCTGACGGATGCTTTATGCGGAGGAGGCGCCGTGTAACCGAGCTTTCGGTTGAACGTCAAAAGATCCCCAGGTAGTCCAAATTAATCCTCAGTCCTCCGCTTGGGCGTGCAGATGTCCGTCGTTAGTTTGGCTCGTAAAACCCCCAATTTTTTTTTTTTGACACAAATACTATATATATACAAGAAATTCGCTCGCAGAAGAGAAGAGGAACACTTAGGAGCAATGAAATATACACTGGAATAGATAAAAGAGGTAATGGAATAAAAAGAGGATAAAGAGGAGGCAAGCGAGAAGGCAATGCAATCCCAAGGAGCGGCCAGGCGAGGGACAGTCTCTCCCACAATTTCTCGCGCGCGGGCCGGGACGCTTGGGGGATTTCACAAAAGGTCTATTCCCTCGCCCCATACGACTCCTCCCTTCCCCGTAATTTTCTCTCCTCATTTTTGTCCTGCCTCCCCCTCCTCTCCACGCCATCTTCCTTCTCCTCCTTTTCTTCCCCATCCTTCCCCCCTTCTTAGCAACAGCTCCTAGATAACCCTAGGTAATATTGTTCCCAGGGAGTCTTTCCCATCCATTACCCCTCCCCCCCTACCTTCAAACGTACAATTCTATAATATCCTACAATCCGATAATGCATTAGAGTCCTATAAAGTAATATCATACATATCATGCATTATAATATTTTGAAGGTAAATGTCGCTGCTAATTTTAACTATGGCTGATGATGGGTTTCCATTTATATATATATATATATATATTTTTTTTTTTTTTTTTTTCTTGGAGAGACACAAATCGTGATTGAAAGGCTCTAAGTTCGAACCAAAGCAGAGCTCGTTTGAAGCGACTTGGGCGTGAGTGTGCGTATTCGCCGCTCTGACAAAAAAGTGTAAAATAAACGCACTCAACTTTTTCTCTTTTCTTTAGTATGTATTTCTTGAACAAATACGTTTTCGCAAGGAGATTTTTTTCGCGTTGAATTTATGTGACGTTTTTCCTTTTCGCAACCCAATTACACGGCAAAGTTGATTGAGCAACGCGTTCTTTGAAGTGGAAACAGGGAACTATTAATGCATTCTTCTTTTTTTGCAGGTTGATTCTTCCCGTTTTAAAAGGAAATAACAACGATATGCCCCGTCTCATTTTCATTTTTTTAACATTCACCTTGGTATATCTACGCGGTAAGTATTTTATGCAGACATCATTAGGTTTTCTAAGTATTTATAAAGTCGCACTTGACCTTGCCAGGGTTCTCTTTACGTGTTTGATAGAGCGCATCATCGCGATTTTCAGAATTCTCAGGTAGCATGCTTCATTGAAACTATAAACAAAAAGACTAAATTGCTTTGATGTTTTCAAAAGTAGTGTAGAGACTCCTTGCTGCTATTGACGCAAATATTTATTAAGCCGAATGACGAAAATAACTGGCTCAGCTAAATTCAGGATCCCGATGCAGTCGCACCACTAGGGGGGGGGGGGGAGGGAGGGCGGACCGCCTCCGGTGCAGTGCTCAGAGGAATGCAGCTGGACAGTGGAAGAGGTTACCGCGGCAGACTACTGGAGCGGAGGGGGGGGGGGGGGAGGGGGGGGGGGGTTCGCGGTGAGCCACCTTCCTGGGTTCCTCTGACCCTAGTCGTGACGCCTTTTGTTCCGGTGGCTTTTATTAAAACTTGTTTTGATCATGGGCATGTTTGTATATACGTTCAAAAGCACGAACAAATTTATATAAAATCGAGATATATAGAAAGAGAGAGATTACAACCAATGTTTGCTATTAGCAGCAGCTGAGCTGGTGAAGCCTTGGTACTTAGTGCTTATTTCACACCTATGTTTTCAAGCTTCAACAAAAGTCGTGCTTCTTACGTTGACATTAATCTTTTATCTTTCAGTTGATGAGGTAAACGGTGCTGTAGGACAGAATGACCTACCGTCATTCGTTGGAAACTCTTGGGATAAATGGAACTTGTTGGAACAACTGAAGACTATTTGCAAACAGCATCACAGAACTAGAGTGATTGTGAGTAGCGTAGAATTAAACTTTGATAGTCAGTGAACAATTAGTTTTATATTACGGTTTCTTATCACATGGCGCCAATCTTTGTTTTCAGGCTGAACTTAAGTTAGAGCAATGTGAAATGACCTGCGCCACAGGTGTAGCGGGTTTTTTCGGGGGTCCTTCTACCTTAAGGCTACAAAATGAGGAACCATGCAACAACAGAGGCGGGGTGAGTTCACTAACAATCATCTTTTATTCCCAGTTCTTTCTTAAGACATAGTCTGTTTTATCAGCCGGTTTTCATGGAGCTCTGTAACGCTTGGCTGTAACGGCCGGCTATAACGGCCGACCGTAGCTACCGAGAGCGACAAGCGTTAAGCCCATTGGGAACCATGTAGAAAGACTTCAGTGCCTGGCAGGATTGGAACTCACAACCTGCAGATTGTGACATAAGTACTTTGCCTACTGAGCTATCCCGGATCGATGTCTACTAGCATGAAAAAGCGAACCCACTAGCGCGGCGCGTGAAAGAACGGTCGCGCGCTTCGCGGCCTATCCTGTCACGCTGCCCTATCTTAAAGGGGCCCTGCAAGGACCTTTTAGTGTTTTTTTAATTTGCACCGAACCTGAGCACACTGAAAGTAGTAACTTAGTGAAACTTTTCGCGAAATTCGCTTTATTTTAAAAGTTATAGGCAATTTAGAATTTCAAAAACAAGCAAAACATAACCTCCTTCATGACGTCGTAGGTCCTGGCTTGAGTGGCCGTGAACTAGAGGAGGAATAGTGAGCTCATCGAGCACTCACGGCCGCCGCACTCCGTGTCGACGGCGCCAGAGGGCGCCACTAAAGCATGTTCTGGATAGGCCGTATGCAGCGGGCAGCTAAAGCGGCTTTCATTGCGTTTGCTGCGCGATTAAACACTAATTCGGCATGACACTTCATTGGCCACAAACGGCAGCAAACACGGGGTAAAGATCAGTTCAGAATGGGAGCCACTTCGCGCTGCCATACCGCGAAACGGCCAAACCGCAAGACAAAGCCTCTCGCCAAAGGCCTTCGGAACGCTCGGAACCGATCGGATCCTCCTGTCCACACGACTGCACCGCCACCGCGTACATCCGGAATTTTTCCGTTTCGGCGCCTTATCCCACTACTCCTTTCTAGTATGCGCCGCCTTTCCCACCGCTTGGCGGCAAGTATGTTGACGGGTCATTTCTTGTTTCCGTACTTTATAAACTGCATTTCTTCCTTTTTTTCATCTATAATAGTGAACAAAAACTACTTTTATAAATAATTGAAACGGTTCGCGCCACTTATATTTTGTATTTCTACCAAAGAGTAGTTTTTAGTGGCTCTGACCAGTAGTAAGCCCAGGACCAAAGACGTCAGATTTTGCGCGCTTTCGGTACCGCGGGTCGACCTCGTCGGTGGAGGAGGTTTCCGTGTCGTCCGGTTAAAATATGGCGCACTGATATTTAGCTACTTTTTCCGTGCCCGCTGGCTTCCTCGAAACCCAAGAGACGTGGAAACCGCATAAAAGGTAGTCGCTTAAATATGATTGCAGGGCCCCTTTAAGGCATGTGTCAGAAATGGCACCGGATCTTTGGTAGGCGGTGCCGTTCAGATGGCCTTCTATTCCTTGGAAGGCCATCACATTTTATGGGCTTACGAGCCTTTGTCCGCATGATAAAGCATGTCTATTGTTTTGTTGGTTAATTTTGTTTAGTCAATTTGAGGTTTCAGTTTAGGTTTTCAAGCCTTTCCACTTCCCTAACATAAATATCATTTATTCAATACCACACGACCTTCGTGTTTTAATCCTCACAAAGTGGGCAGTTTCATTGCACGGAGAAAACTTAATTGTGCGATAGGAATGGGAAAACTGATCTGAGGGAGCATGCAAAGCACGTAAATATCTCAGAGGATCCCCTATACAAGACTGCAATTCCTATATCGGAATCTTGAGGGTGTTAAAATATTGACGTGATGTAGTAGTAGGGGCAAGGTTACCGGCCCGCGCTAATATCCGCCAGGCGCCTTCACGAATTCGGAAACTTCGGAACATATTCTTGCCTTTTCCCACCATTAAAAAAAATGTGAATTCAAATGAATCTATATAAAACGAAACTCATTAACGATAATTGCTGCAATGATCTTCCACTCGTAATATAATAATATCGTAAAAAAACGTATTACCAATTCGTACATCTATAACACTATTAATAATCAAATTTACGCTACTCGAAACTAAGAAGCTTTTACATTAACTCAAATATTTATCTCAGAGTATAAATCACCTCTCATTATCATAATTTTAACAAACATAATAAAGCAGTATAATAACGAAAGTAAAAAAAAAACTGTTTTAAAACAGTCTAAGGAATGAAGCCGTCATTGTTACGTGGCCGTTTTGTAATTAAACCTAAAAAAGTATGGCATGATTTGAATCACTTGAACTGTATGCAGCTCATTAATAGTGTACTAATTGTGATTTGCGTTCTTGTTGTCAGAAATGCTACCCTCCGGGAGCATGTGCCCACGACTCATGAAGTAAAAGGGCAAACCTTGAGACTGCAGCCAAGGTATTCAACAGAATAACGATTACTTGATATAGTGATTTAGAAATACGGTATTCTGTTCAATAAATATCTTGTATATTCAACCCGACTGTTTCACTAACATCACTCTGCTAAACACTCACGATACGACATTAGTTACAGAAATCGTGCCTCCTTTTAAAAATGAATCTTTATTGTTATTGTAACAGAACGCAATACCTACATATACTATGCAGCTCTTCAGTTGTACAAAGCATTTCTTTACAACACGAAGCTCGGGAATCGTTTCTTTTTCTTCTGTAGACCCTAACAACGAAGTCAGAATATCTCAATAGATCTTTCTAAAACAAAGGAAGTGCGCACAAGCTACCGATATCCGCATTTTTTGTTTGTTTACTTTTGGCGACCGAAGAGGCAGAAAGGAGGAGACTAAGCGATTTTGTACCTCTCTCGAGGAAGTAAGTGCGCAGGCAAGAATGAACAATGTCCCTCTCGGTCATTTTTGTAATCTTATAATAGGAGGAGAGGCTCCGTCTACCATAAAATGCACTAAAAGCGAGGTGATAATAAGTTAAGTTGCTATAGCCACAAGTATCCTCGTTCGTTGCTGCACAAAATTGTTAGAACACTTCTCACCTCTTAGTGAATGCGATGCAGTCTTTTACTTGATTTCACTTATTTTACCACGTTATAAAACTTACTTATTTTTTTACACTCTGACCTTTAGGGCTGGTTCACTTTATTTGCTAAATTTAGCCAGGTTGTCTGCATCTCAGTCACCCGTCTTGTGTGTCAACTTTTTGCGAGCGCTTGGGACGCGCTATAACTTGGGAGCTTGGGGCTAGTTAAGCTGTTTGAACAGCTCACTTTCCAATGTTCCTGCCATCATTGTATTTTGTTGGAAAATAGAAGATAATATATTATTATCAAACACGCCTGGGGCCAACATAATAATTCACAAGTCTAGCCTTTTGCTCCCTAGACAACAATGAGGCTTTTCGTGAGGTTGGGCTTACGAATACGACAAACAAGGTAGACATTATGTCAAGTGAACAGAATATACACTGTAAAAATATTTGCCCTCTTTTACGGAGACATTTTCTGGCACCTATGCTGCCGGAAAGGTCATCCGTAATCATAATAACGGAATGTTCCTTTTAAGCTCGTATACAGTCCGCAAATACAAGGACGTTCCGCATAACAGATTACGGAAAGTGCCTTTCTATCCGTAAGCGTATTTAAGAGATGCCTGTAGAACAACGGACTGGAATATGCATTCCGTAAAACCTATTACGGAAATCGCTCTAGTATCCGTAAGGGTGTTTAAAAGTTTTCCGTCAAAGGGCAAAGGAGTATGCTTTCCGTAAATGATATTACGGAAATCACTCTTAAGTTTCCGTAATCCTATACGGGCTGCAACTTCGTCTGCTTCTTCCACTGGGATTGAGGTGATGTCAGACTGATTGAACAAAAACAAATACTAGGTAGACCTCATGGTGTCTAGCATTGTGGCCTACCCAATATATCCTTCCAATCAAAGCCAATGAGAGTTCGGCGTCGTCCTGACGCCACCGCAATGCCTGCGCGAAAAGCAGACGACCTGCTCTCTCCATAGGGCGGCGTCAAAAGAAAGGGGATTTGTGAAATAAGCTAGAGGAATCAATGCCTTCATTTAGCAAGATAAACTTATTATCAAAGGGTTTCTTTTTGTGACAGATTTTTGTGAAAAATGTTAAGGTGCAACTCCATTCTGGCAAACATATGAACTACATTACTTAAATTTTAGACAATGGGCACCGATGTATACAACTGAGTCGTGTTGAGAGCTCCTGTCAAGAGGTGCCGCAACCTGCTGTAATAGAGCTGAGCAATGTATCTGCAGCAAGTTTCTTCAGTGTCAGTTGCTTTTTCTTCTGTTAGTTCTGGCATTCAGATCAACGTACAGAATTATAGAAGGTAGTGAGATTACAAAACATTCTCTGCAGTCTGATCGACCACTGCAGTCATTCCATCTTTAAAGGGCGATATGAAGCACCTCCCTTCTGAAAAAAACCATTTGGTGCCCATATGAAAATAAACGGGTCCATACCGGTGACCGTTTAACCATACTGGTCGCCAGTTTGTCAAAGGTGTCGCCCGTATGGCTCAAATGGGTCCCCCGTATGAGCCATAACGGTCACCTATTTGGCAAACGGGTCGCTCGTCTGGGCAAATGGGCGACTCGTTTGGGCAAAGTTGTCGCACGTTTGCTCAAACCGGCGACCATGTTGCAAACTGCACCGGTTTAATCAAACGGCTCTCCGGAGGCCGTTTGATATTGAACGTACAGATCGGCGGCGTGGGCACGCCTAGCGTTTCAGCCGTGGCAGCCAATGTTTTCCGGAAGGCTGGGAGCGCCGGTTCATCGATTTCAGATCGTCCGCGTAATGCAAGTAATTCTATTTATATTTCAATTGCGCTGATTTTCGATTATACTGCAACTAAAACTAACACCTTTTTTTTTTTTTGTTTAACGTAAACGCGCGACGTTGGTGAGCCGATATTTTTGACAGACCTTTAATACTTTGTCCATCTTTGTTGCCTCATTTTACTTATTCAGCTCGAATCTCTCTCGCAGAAGACGCGACAGCGTGAAAGAATGCACGTCTAGACTCCGTTTCACTTTAATTCAAGACGCAGCGAAGGTAGCACGCGTACACGTGGCTGCAAGAACATCGAGCATGGCGAGAGCACGCCCGCCGTTGCAGCACTCAAACCACGAACTTGCGCTGAGTACTGTCTTTGCTCGGGCGCAAGCCGAGCTTCTGGCCGCCCCTTTGCCATTTCCAAAGTTCGAACGCGCGCGTTTGTTCTTCGGGACTACAAAAACGCATCTCCCTGGAATGCCTGGGGAGAGGGAGAGGGGCTGTCCCGGTGGTCCCAGCGCCTTGACCTCGCCCCCTCCCTCCTCTCTTGTCACCCCTGTCACGTGACCCACAGCAGCGCGCGAGCTACACGCTGATAAGCATCGAGATCCGGAAGGGCACGCCTTGCAGCCGCTTTTTTCTTTGTCTGCTTGTTGTCAGTTGCTGCTCGAAGTTCGCTCGTCCTACCTGCTTCAATCTGTCGCCTAACCCTGCGGTCTTATTGGGATGTCTCTCGACAACGTATTGGATGTGCACCAAAGCTATCAGTGTTCGAAAAGACCCACGTGTATGTCGGCAACGAGCGATTCTTCAAAGAAGTCGCAAATTCTCGCGGTTTGGTTGGGTTCGGCAAATGACGGCTTGTGCGCCGCATCGTGTTGAAACTTCCAAGGAGCCGTTTCCTCTCGTCTGTGTTTGTGTGGTTGTCCTGCTTTGACCGTGTCGACAAATATCACGGATTACATCTTTCAAGTCCGCTATTGTTATGGTAAGTGCACTGCAACCTACGTGTTAGCAACGATTGACCGTTCTTCTTTCTACGCGTACTCTTCTAGATTATCTAAAGAATTGTGCAGCGCCTATTCGCGCGGCAGCCAGGAGAATAATTTCCCCGAAAGTCTACCTGTATAGTGTTCACAGATCGCTTGCACGTTTGTACTTGTCTACAGAAGAGGTAATAAACTTGGAGGAGAATTGAAAACAATCTTTTGTGTCGGTTTTCCTGTCCACTTACAAGCACCTACGCGAGTGCATTTGTTCTACGTGTTTTCTCCATGTTATAAGAGTAATGCTATATGCACTCCGGAGTGCAGCTCGGCCGGAAATTGCTATATGCACTACGTTTGTCTCGTATAAAATGAATGATCACAACAAGTTTTTCAACCTGTGGCATACCGTAGGTCATTCTTCTTCCGACCGCCGTAGCGAAAGGACGCAGAATCATGAGCTCCGCAGGAGCGGTGATAACGGCCCCCGCCGGCCGCGGTGACTCTGCTTTTTCCGGTGACGAAGAATACCGGATTGCTCTACCCCAGCTGCCTTCAGGAGAAGCGATGAAGCGTGCCGTCGTGCTACACGCGGACATGGCCTCCCGTCCGTATCGGCTCGAGGACTTCCGTAGACCACTCGGCGATGCAGGTGTCCTCGGGGAAGTGACCAAAATCGGGGCTTTCCAAATGTCCCATGTCTGGCTGCTCGACCTGAGGACTGATGCGGCTAAGCAGAGGCTTCTCGGGGCCGGGCAACTCGTTGTCAAGGGCCGCAAGTGCCTCATCGTGGACCCGTACAGGCAGGAGCTACGGGTAAAGCAGCATTGGGTGTCGTTCGGCGTCACGAACGACGCCATCCATCGGGCCTTCGCCGACTACGGAGAGGTGAAGGAAGTGGCGCACGAGCGCTGGAAGGTGCCGGGGTTCGACGGCGTCGAGTCAACCACCCGTGTCGTGCGCCTTGTTCTCCGGGAGGGTGTCAGCTTAGACCGTCTACCGCACCAGCTTCGGCTCGGCGGCGGCATGGTGCTCGTCGTTGTGCCTGGGCGGGCCCCCCTCTGCCTCCGGTGCCGCATGACGGGCCATATCCGACGTGACTGCCGGGCCCCCAGGTGCACAGAGTGCCGTGCCTTCGGGCACGAGAGGGCCGACTGCGTCCGCTCCTACGCCCGTGCCGCCGGTCGAAGGGCGTACGACGACAACACTGACGACCTCATGGACGAGGAAGAGGCGGAGAAAGCGGCTGCACCCGCCGGAACCACAACCGAGCAGCTGAAAGAGGTGGACGACTCGACCGACATCGTCCCTACAGTGGGGAACACCCTGTCACCGCAGCAACCGTCGACCACTCCTCCTGCCCCTCCGCAGGCAGTTGAGCCTCAGTCAACTGCGGCCTCGTCCTCTCCGCAAGCAGCTGGGACCCAGTCGGCCGCACCGCCTGGGAGAACCCAGGCGGGCGCGGCTCAGGTTCCTGAGGGGAGACCCACCCAGGAAGAGGTGGACACCGAGCCTGGCTCTGCTAAGCGCCCGCGTGAGGACTTCCCAGCGTCCTCCAAGGACGGACGGCAGCGACAACAAGAGAAGAAATGGAAGGTGG